ACCTTTTATGGACTTAAAATGCTTGTCTGTTGCATGATATCCAGCATTTTTTGTTGTAAGAGAGAGAACCTGGAAGAATGGGGTTACTCCATCTTGGTGAAACCTCACTGTATTTAAACTAGGATCATAGTATCTATAACAATTTACTACACACTTACTTTCTCTTATGTAAACTACTTGAAGGTAAAAATTGTTTTTTAAAAAAATCTTTGTAATCCTAGCTTTGACATATTACTTAGTGATCAGTAGATGTGTGTTAAATGGATGACTAAATAAATGGATTTCACTAAGTACCTTTTGATAGATTCTTAATATGTACTTTCAATGAGAAAACATTATTTAGTCTCTAAAGAGAAAATCAAGACTTGTGCAAAGTAACTAGATACAAGAGAGAAAACTTTGTCATTTAAAAAAATGTTTTTAGAAATTACACAAAAATCAATCACATTTCTAACAATACTACCAATGTACACGTTGAAAATGAAATTAAAAAGACACTACTATCATTTACAAACAAACCAAAGACAATGAAATACTCAGGTATAAATTTAACAAAATGTGTACAGAATTTGTATGCTGAAAACTACAAAATGTCAATGGAAAAAATCAAAGAATGCACTGAGAAATTCAACACAGTTAAGGTAAGAACTTTCCCTAAGTTGATCTATAGTTGCAATTCCTATCAATATTCCAGTAAAAATTTTTACAGAAATAGACAAGTTTATGCTAAAATTTATATGGAAAGGAAAAGCCCAACAATTGCTGAAACAATCTTTAAAAAACAGGATAAAGTGAGAGGACTCTCTCTGCTTGATATTTAGCCCCAACATACAGCTTCATTAACCAAGACAGAGTGATGTTGACAGAGAGATAGATACAGAGATCAAAGGTATAGAATAGAGAATCCTATAATAGACCCATATAAACATGTCCAACTGATTTTGAATAAATGTTGCAAAAACAATTCCATGGAGAAGTGAGCTTTTTCAACAAATGGTTCTGGATCAATTGGACATCTATCCAAAAGTTATATCTTGACCTAAATAAACCTTACACATTATACAAACATTAACTAAAAATGGATCAGAGACTAATGTAAAATGTAAAGCATTAACATTTTTGCCAAAAAAAATGTTCAAAAAGAGATCTTCATGACCCAGGGCTAGGCAAAGAGCCAAAAGCATGATCCATAAATGGTAAAAATGATTAACTGAACCTCATCAAAATTGAAATATCTTGTTCCACAAGAGATCCTATTAAGAGGATGAAGAGACAAAGTACAGATGTGCAGAAAATATTTGCAAACCACATGTCCAAAATAGGGCTATTACCTAGAATAAAGAATTTTCAAAACTCAAAACAAGAACACAAATTATACAATTATAAAATGGCAAAGGACCTGAACACACATTTCACCGAAGAGGACAGAGATGGCAAAATAGCACATGAAAATACATTAACTACCATTGGCCATCAGGGAAATGCAAATTGAAACCACAATGAGATATCATGATATACTGATGACTACGATGAAAAACATTGACAATACCAAATGCTGGAAGGATGTGGAGAAACTGGATCACTCCTATACTGCTGGTGGGGATTAAAATTTTACTAAACTGTAGTATAGTATCATAATCAGGATATTGACATTGATACAATCAAAATACAGAACAAGACTATCACCTCAAGATCTCCTATTGTTCACATCCACTTTCCTTTCCCACCAATCCCAAGTTGCTAGCAACCACTGATGTCTTCTCTATATCTGTTTTTCAACTCAAGAATGCTATCTAAATGCAATCATACAGTATATAACTTTTTAGAAATGGATTTTTCACTCAACATAAATCCTTTGAAATCCATCCAAATTACTGCATGTGTTGTGTAGTCTGTGCTTGTTTATTGATGAATAGTGTTCCAAGGTATGAACAGCACCGCAGTGTTTATTCATTCATTAAAGAACATCTGAGAGACACCAGATAAAGGATTCAGGAGACCTCACTATAGTATTTCTTGTAACTGAATAAGAATCTAAAACTGCCTCAAAAATAAAAATTTTAGTAAAAAACTAAGGTGCCAAAAACTTAGTATGCTACCCTTTGCAGGGGCATTAAAATGTTTACATGTACATATGAAACTGCTAACAGGGCACAACTATGAAGAGGGGGATTAAAAGACTGGGGGGTTAAGAGCACAGGAAGATTTTATTTTTTAATAAGTAAATGTATTTTTTTAGTGGCGATAAAGAAAAGGAAATACATATAGAATATGTATTGTTATGTAGCTCTCCTTCATTCCCTTTTTCATGAAAAAATAAAATAAAAACTGAGGAAGAAGAAAAAATAACTGAAATTCCAGTTACTATGGAGTAAAGAATTATGTGGTATTATTGTGCCAATAATACGAAGAGATACAAAGAGAAGGGAGCAGGGAAGCTCTTATCCATTGATAAGCACTGATGGTGGTCTCAGGCATTTCCATTATTTACAACATATAATTGTAAATAAGTATGAATGCAAATTAGGTGTACATGAAACAGTTTATTAAACCTTTTCATTGATAACTTTAATACCCAGAACACTTATCAGAAATACTAGAATCTTTAAGTAGAAGCTAAAATATTTAAACTTCTAAAATTCTTTGAAAGTGTATTATTTAAAAACTTATAGTGACAGTTTTGAAGCCTGATAGCCAACAATGTGCCAAAATGTCAGTGACTCTAACAGCCCTGGGCTCCCTTAACATCAACACTAAGCCACGCTATTTCAACTGCTGTTTATGATTTTGAATATCGCTTTCCAAATTGGAAAAAGGAGCCATATCAACACTAGCTTCAAAGTAATTGGAATATTTGAATTTCAGTGATAAAAGTATCTTTTTTGTTGTTGAGATTATCACTTTCTCTAGAACTCCACTCGACACATATAAACTTTAAGGTGTTTGTCTTTTAGTTTGACCTTCCATTAAAATGTAGACATACAAAGATAGGCAAATGTCATGGTTTTTTGAAACTTTTAAGTTTTCATTCCTTATTGCAACTATAAATTGAGGAACATTTAATGTAATTTCTCAGAGCATTGGATTACAGCGTATATTTAAACACATCAAAGATTTGCAACCTCAGTGCTTTGAAAATTCAGATTACTAATGTGAACACATCATTATTTTCCTATCAGAAACACATAATGAAGTTAAGCGTTAGACTATGGACATTCAGCTCAATTCTAATCTCAGATAAATGAGGACACACATTTGCCTCTCTTGAAGAATCACCTCTACACATGCATGAACAATCAGAAATAATGATTTTTTTAAAGAATCACAGCAGATGTGAATTTAAATCAAATTACTATTAATCAAGTGAGAACAGCCAGTCCCAAACAGTCCTCTTAACTGTACTATTATGGCAATTATTTATCAAAGTCTCTACAAAATCTCTACTTCTAATAACAGTTACATTTGAACATGCAAAGATTGGTAGACCCTAAGGGAAAGAACAAGGGTCGCCAAAGAAATGGTGGATTTGTTGTTTCACAATCCAGTGCACTTTTTTTCCAAGCACAGTTTTACTTGCATTCATTTATATTTTCCAAAACTAACCCTAAATATATGTTGCCAGTGTTAAAAAGGTAAATTTCTGTTTAATATTTTTATGTAGCTCTGACCTACTTTAATGTCCTTACATACCTGTAGTCATGAATCAGCATAAAGTTAATTTCTACAGGTGATGATGGGGCGGGGGGCACAGTTCTTATGACAGAGGAGTGACAGCTGCCAATCAGAATTTCAGAAGTGGGGGTTGAATTCTGATGTGAAAAAGACACTAGGTGATTCTGAAAGAGTCTCCAAATTGAGAATTAACTAAATTAATTTTGGCTTTATTTCTCTTAATAGGACAAAATACAGAAAGACAGATTTAAACAGATCCTCTATATGACTATACCTTCCTTTGACAATGTTCTTTTAATTGAATGCAGAGGTTTTCAGATTGGTGCGCAGCAATAATTTTTAAAACACCCAACACCTAACTATTTAGTCATGACTACTAACCTCTTTTCTCTTGATTGTCAAATAAAAAAAAAATGACAACAGCCAACACAATAGCCATCCGGTGTGAATGAATCCAAATTATACCTATTTTTTTGTCAGATTGTCAAAAGATAATGTGCCGCAGAATTTTAGTAATTAGTTTATGTGTGCCATGAGATGAAAAAGGCTGAAAATCGCTGGTCTAATGACATCCGCAAGCATTCATGCCAGGTGTGATTCACAATCCATGAAGGGCTAACTTCTTAAGCTGAGATTTTTTAAACTCCTAATGTGTTACATGGATACTATTTCAATGTATTATGTCTCTTCTGCAAGCAGACAAAGATATGTGGATGTGTGATGAGTTTCTTTGGGGATAAGGGGACAGACTTTGTTATTAACTTTTGTATGGGCCCTGAGGGACCTGGGTAAATTGTTGTATTGACCAAGCACTTTTAGTTAAGAAAATGATCTGGAAAACAGCCTTTATATTTGAATCCCCTAAGATGGCAATGCTGCCCTCCTGTTCCTGTGCACATACACACATTACCTAAATCATCTTTGCAGATGTGTGTGAACCAGAGCTATCTGCGCTCTATCTGTCTGTGAAGGGCAATAACAAAATGCTACAACCCATTTAGCAATAAACCATGCATCCTTCCTGCAAGTCTTTGCTTACATTTGATTTGCAACATTTCACCTCCTCTATAAATTTTATTTCATAGTCTTCAGTAATTTCTGGCAACAGAAGTAGCTACCCAGATGGTATCTCTTTTCTCCATAAGCCAGAAATAATGTCTCAATATAAATTCCAATCCCATCTTTTTATGATTTAGATTCTAAAGTTTAGAAAGCAGTAAGCACACAAATATTGAGACAATACCTCAGGTGAAAGGGAGAGCAGCAAAATTTAAGCATAAGAGAGCAGCATGTGATCTGAGCGGGCAGGAGTAGGATGAAATGCATACCTGATGACACAGGCGTAAAGACCGCTGTCCTGCAGCAACGTTGGCCGGAACCAAATGGAGTCTTCTTCCTTGCTCATTCTACTTCCATCAAAAGCTATTGGCTCTTCAAAGTCTCCTGGACCAGAGCTTTTGTACCACATCAAACTGAGTCCAGCACTTTGGGCTAGGGAGTAATTTGCTCTGATATAACCATAAAAGAGTGCACACTTGATTCGAACAGGTTCTCCCACCAAAACTTGATATTTCTTGATATCGATAGACCAATCGGTGCATCCATCAGCTAAAATAAAGAGAGAGAGAGATAGTACATTAGAGAAAAATTTAAGAATTACTTCATTCATTCATTTTTCATTCAACAAATATATATCGAACATCTATATTGGAGTAGATTCTATTCTAGGCATAGAGAATTCAGCCTTGGATCAACCTCAGAATGGTGCTGAAAAGTAATTTACCATGCTAACAAACAGCATATTCGACACTTAGTTTGCTTCTGCTGGTATTTATTCTTAGTTTCTATCAGTGTGATGGCTATTGGTTTATTGCCTTTCTACTCTACATCTTCCTATCCACCTTTTTTGCCTGTTCTTTGAAAGTGGATCTGGATCGTGGAAACAGCTTTCTTCTGCTAGCTGGCACTGAAGCTCTGTTGGTAGAGGGTGCTGAAGAGACATTGCAGGAGGAGAGGGTTTTGCTCCCTGGTCCCAGCATGCTTGCTGGGATGGCCCTTGTAGAGTACAAGGCTTCTCTAGCACCCAGTTCCTGCAGTGCCAGGCAGCCAGCAGCTTGGTAGTTTTTTAGCTCAGCCTCATTTGAGACACTTTCCCACAAACTGCTTTTCCAGGTACTTTAAAGGAGTCGTCTCTGTCAAATTCCAGAGGGCAGATTTGCAAGTTCTGCCAGTGTGGCACTTCACTGACTTCTGCCATTCAGTAAGCCATGTGCTTCCTCAATAAGGTTTGGATGTCACTCTGGAGGTCAGAAGATAGGGGCTTTTCCTTGGGGGCTGTATATCAGCTATAGGTGCAATAGTAGCCTTTATTCTTTTGAGTTCTCTTTTGTTATGGGCTGAATGTTTGTGTTCTCCTAAAAGTCATACTTTGACTCTCTAACCCTGAATGCGATGGTATTTGGAAGAGGGGTATTCGGGGGATAAGTAGGTTTAGATGAGGTTATGAGGGCAGAACCCTCATGAAAGGATTAGGGCTGTTAGAAGAGATACCAGCACTTCCCTTCCTCTTCTCTCCTTCCCTTCCTCCCTCCCTTCTGGTGCTCATAGAGAAAAGGCACAGTGAGAAGGCACCATCTGTAAACCAGAAAGAGGGCTCTCACCAGAAACCAAATCGGCCAACACCTTGATCTTGCAATTCTCAGCCTCTAGACCTGTGAGAAATAACTTTCTGTTGTGTAAGCCACCTAATGTATGGTATTTTGTATGGCAACCTGAGTAGACTAATAGATCTTTCTTACTAGCCAATCTTTTTTTTTTTATAGGGGATTAGTAAAGGGTAAAGGGGGTCAAATATATGGTGATAAAAGATCTGACTTTGGGTGGTGGGCACACAATGCAATATACAGATTATGTATCACAGAATTGTACACTTGATACCTCTATAGTTTTATTAACCACTGTCATCCCAATAGATTTATTTTTTTAATCTTTATTGTTGAAAATATTACAGATGTCCCCTTTCTACCCCCGTTGATCCCCTCCACCACACATCTACCCCATCCCCAAACCATCCCCATACCAATGTCTGTGTCCATAGGTTATGCTCATAAACATATAAGCTCTTTGATTAATCTCTCCCCACCCACTCCTCCATCCCCACTTTCCCTCTGAGATTCCTCGGTCTGTTCCATGCTTCTATGTCTCTGGATCCATTTTGTTCATCAGTTTATTTTGTTTATTACATTCCACATATAAGTGGTACTTGTCTTTCTCTGACTGGCTTATTTCACTTAGCATAATGCTCTCTAGTTCCCTCCATGCTGTCTCAAAGGATAAAAGATCCTTCTTCTTTACAGCTGCATAGTATTCCATGGTGTGAATGTCCCACAGCTTTTTATCCACTCATCTACTGATGGGCACTTGGGCTGCTTCCAGATCTTAGCTATTGTAAATAATGCTGCTATGAACATAGAGGTGCATAAGTTCTTTGTGCCACTTAGTAATTCTTTCTAAAAATTTCCCGTATTCAAATTAGTGTGTGGTGTTTGTCTCTGATTGGATCCACACTTATAAAATCAGGAATAAATGTTTTATAGCCAAAGAAGGCAGAAGGAAATACAAGAGTGGGTCAAGCTCTGGTTGTAGTATCTCAGCAAGAGACAGAGGTACATTGGTCTGGTTTCGGGTAGCATCATGGGAAGTACAAAGTAGAAACAATGGTGGAAAATGTGGCTAATGGGGGTTGGGATCAGTTGGGTTTTCTCAGTTATCTGAAAGCATCATCTTCCAAATGGCATCTTGGTATTATTTTTTATCACCCTTCCCCCTGCACACACACACACACACACACACAAACACACACAACAGGTCCCCACAGGTCAGGTACATCACTATTAACATAATCACAGAGAAGTTGAGAGTTTTCTACTTAGAGAGGGCAGTTGCCCCATGCCTAGCAAGATAATCAATGACAGCTCACAGAATACAAACACCGAGCCAAAGGCAAAACCAAGAAAAGAGGACCTCTAAGAGCAGTAGCATCTGATTATTGTCAGCAGGGTTTAACTCATTGAAGATTAAAAATGAGGACAGGCCCGGCCAGACATGGCTCAGCGGTTGAGCATCGACCTAGGATCCAGGAGATCGCGGTTCGATTCCCGCTCAGGGCACATGCCCAGGTTGAGGACTCGATCCCCAGTTTGGGGCGTGCACGAGGCCGCCGACCAATGACTCTCATCATTGATGTTTCTATCTCTCTCTCTCCCTCTCCCTTCCTCTCTCTGAAATCAATAAAGATATATTTTTAAAAATAAATTAAAAAAAAAATAAAAATAAATAAAAATGAGGACAGGCTGAATAATGTAGAATCTGATAGAAGGAAAATTACCAATATGAAAAGGAAGAGCAAAGGCGGCATATAATCTAGTGAGTCATCTACATTTCTTATCTTAAAATAATATCTAACATCTAATGAGCACTTAACTATGACTGAGTTTACAAATTTTCACTTACCCTCCACAAAAATATCCATTAAGGCTTTTCAACTCACTGTTCCCTCCATGTGGAGCAGTTCTCACCAAGGACTGAATGCCTTCCTCCCTCTCTTCCTCCAAATAGCACCTCTTCAAAGAGGACTTTTTTAAGTGCTCTGTCGGAAACACCAGCTTCCTATTCTGGTCACATGATCCAGATTCTGCTTAAGATTTTTTCAGGGGAATTATTATCATCTGGTGTTATACTATGTGCCTACTTTTTTTGCTTTCTCTCTCTCCAATAGAATGTAAGCCCCTTGAATCAAGGGCTTTGTCTTTCTAACTCACTTCTTTAGCCCCAGTGCTTTGAACTGTGCTGCTCACCAGCTCAACACACATTTGCTAAATGAATGAATGAATGAATGAATGAATGACTCAGTAAATAAATTAACAACTAAATTTTATAACTGAAGAAACTCAACAAAAGCTAAGAAGTAGAAGTCCTTGGATTCTCACCCAACTATGTCTAACCCTAGAATTCATTCTCCCTACCACCATAGTATTGTTTCTTGATAAAAGTATTATCAACTTCACAATATTCTTTAATTTAGTTAGTTTCAACTACTAAAGTTTTGTCTAAGATTCCTGTTAAAGATCTGTATTAGATATTGTCTAGAGTAAAGTGCTGGAAGCTTGGTGGACACCATCCATGTCTAAGCCATCGCCATCATCCCTGCCAATGCTGCAGAGTTGCCACACCATGTTAAATAGGATGACAGAACTGTACACAGAGATGTCAAGGTTATATAACTACACATGGCATTTACTGACACAATTTCGTACATTTGACCCATTACATGAAATTAATCCTTGGTGGAATTTTGTTTTAAACAGTTATAATTCTGGTGATAAACATTGTCTTATTTTACCACTATAAGAATTACAATACAATTTGAGAATCAAGTAACGGAGGTCAACTACCACAGAGGATATCCCTACCAGTGAAAAAGGCAGAAAAAATTAGCAGTATAAATAGTTAGATAAACTTACTTAAACTCTCAGAAGATTTGTAAGATAAGGTAAAATGCTTGAAGCTAAAGGCAAAAATATTTAGTCTTAAAGGTTTAAAAAGTTAGCAACAAATTAGATCAAGATGCAGAATGACAGCTTTCAGAGGGAAGGGGGGGTAGAAGGGGCTCGGTGAAAAAGGTATAGAGATTAGCCAAAGAACATATAAGCATAACCCATGGACACAGACAACAGTGTGGTGGTGGCCAGAGAGAAAGGTGGGGGAGGGGGTAAGAGATGGGTGGAGGTGGGCAAAGGAGGGAAAAATTGGGACATCTGCAATAGTGTCAACAGCAACAAAAAAATTTTGAAAATACAATAGTGGGAGAGTTGTGTTGGGGATAGGCAGAGATGTTAGTACTTACTTTTAGAATATGCTTACTGAGAGAAATGTTGAAAGAGAACTGTAAATATTATGGAAAATGAGAGTTATTCCGAACTTGACTATCAATCAAGAAAAAGGTATCAAACAGCTCAGTCATATGCCAAGAAAAAGGCAGAGATGAAGTGAAAAAATAACAGGACCTTGGATATCAGAGACACTTTATGTTCATTTAATATGGAAATAGACGTAGGATGTATATCTTAGAAACTTTTACTACCATTAGACTAAATGTATGGTGTTCAAAATAAACTATAAAATTATTAACATTTTGTAATATTTCCGGAGAAAGATGGCAAGTAATATAAAGAACAATTTAAGATGTTTTCTAATTATTTAGATAAACATCTAAATAAGTGATGGGCACATTGCTTTTTCCAATAATTAAATTAAAGCATTTAATTAAATGAGACAAGTGATAAGTGATATTTTTTCCTTGTATGCAGGAGGAAGTAGATCAATCTTTCACTCCCACTTCCATGTTTCTCTCTCTCTCCCTCTCCCTTCTTCTCTCTCTAAAAATCAATAAAAAATTTTTGCAAAAAGATCTCAAATCTTAAAAGAAAATGTGACAACTTAAAACTTAACTGTTGATTACCAGAACTGCTGATTCGTTCAATTTTTTCTTGATTCAGCACATAAGCTCTGTTGACTTGGAAGCAATCATTCCAAAACCATATTTCCAG